AAAAGGCTGGCCTGCTCACAGTCATGGGAGGAGGGGAGGAAATGTCTGCCAGGCACGTGCAACACCAGGAAACTCATAAAATCTTTTCTGGCTGTGAAATGTATTGTGCTTGGGAATAGTTGCTAAGCTGGGGTCTGCTGGCCAGCAATTAAGAGCAGGGACTGTAAGGTCGCTCCTAGATGTGTGGAGCTAAGTTCTCTGAGCTTCTGGGGATCCGAACGCAACCTGCCTGGGAGGATCCAGTGCCCAACCCAGCATGAAGACTGCCCCTGTGTGTGTGTTGGGTACTACTGAAGCACTTCCCATTCTGCGTGGCCATTTCATCTCCATGGGGGGCATATTCCTAAACAGGAAACAAATGGCCTGTGGAGTTTGGTGCTCTTAGGTCCAGCGCCAACTCTGAGGATTCAGACCCCACTCTGCCTGGCCCTGGCCCACAGTGTGGTGGGTCCCCAAGAAGCTTCTCCAGCCTGGGGAGCAGGTGAATTCAGATTCTTCAGTAATCCATAGCCCCTTCCATTTGAGGCTAATCCTCTTGGGCCTGGTGGCTGGGAAAAAGGCAGAGCTCTGAAAGGTTTGAAAAGCTCTGAGGGCAGGGAGGAAACTAATCTCACTGAGCACATCTGCCAGTTAGAATAGATTGCTGGCTGCCAGAAATGGTGTGGAAGAGTCTTAATGCCACCCTGAGTATGATGCATGTTTTTGCCGGGCTGTGACCTTCACCTTGCCACCTTCTGCCCTGGGGAAGAAAAGAGCACTTGTATCTACTTGTATCTACTGAGTGCCTGCTAACAGTGTTGGCTTAGTTCGGCACAAGGTTCAGGTAAAATTGGACAACTGTGCAAGAAAATTTTTTCTTTTTAAGTTGTACAAAGAATATATGATCATGGGAGAAAAAATTAGGGAATATAGATAATCTGATATCATCGGAGAACAATTTAAATGGCCCTAAATTCAACTATCAACAGAGTACCTGGGCGCCTAGGTGGGTCAGTCGGTTAAGAGTCTGACTCTTGATTTCAGCCCAGGTCGTGATCTCATTGTCATGAGATCTAGTCCCACCTCGGGCTCTGTGCTGAATGTGGAGCCTTCCCTCCCTCCCTCTCTCCCCCCTCTCAGGGCACCTGGGTGGCTCAGTCAGTTAAGCATCCTACTCTTGGTTTTGGCTTGGGTCATGATCTCAGATTCGTGGGGTTCAAGCCCCACAATGGGCTCTGCACTGACAGCACCGAGCCTGCCTGCAATTCTGTCTCTCCCCCTCTCTCTCTGCCCCTCTCTCACTCTCTCAAAATAAGTAAACTTAAAGAAAAAGATTCTCTCTCTCTCTCTCTCTCTCTCTCTCTCTTCCACTTTGCCCCCTCCCCTGCTCACGCTCTCTCAAAACAAAACAAAACAAAACAAAACAAAACAAGAAAGAGAATACCATTCATTCTTTGAACGAATATTCATTGGGCAGCTACCCTGTATCAGGCACCGTGCTGGGACCTGGGGGCACAGCTGCAAATGGGTCAGACACGGTTCCTGTCCTCATGGGCTTAGGCCCATTAATGACCTATTGGTCAGGTGCTAGCCATTAATATCAATACTTGATATTAAGCAATCTGAGCATGAGAAGTGCCTTAATGACAGCCAGTGGCCTCTGAACCGACCGCTGGAGGACACACAGGAAGGTGAGTGAAGGGATGAGCAATCCCAGCCGGAGGAGAGGTCCTGCATTTAGGGAGGGTGTGGGGCTGGAGAGGCCTGGTCAGCCCTCCCCACCCCAGGATTTCCAGCCATACAGGAGGCTCTCCCGCCTTGGACAGCATTGATCTTGCCTGTCCTGCCTGAGTTGCCCATGTGTGCAAGACCAGGGAAGGTGTGAGCTGTGGAGGCGGTGCTGTGCCAGGCTTAGGTCCTGCTGGATAAGGGCTCTGGCAGCCGAGGCTCTGGGGTGGCTGTAAGCTGCATAGGAGCCGGTCAGCCATCAGTCTCCACTCTTTGCTGTTTTGTATATTTCCACTTGCTCAGTTCCTGCCCATCAAAGACCAGAGCCTCACATCACACCATCTTTGCCCACTTAGTGGACTCTTTTAAAGCTTGCAGAGAAAATAGAGACACTGGCTTCCCAGAGTCCAATGTTTCGTTTCTTGGTGACACTTTTTTGACATTTTTTTTGTTTTTTGAGAGAGACAGAGCATGAGTGGGGGAGGGGCAGAGAGAGAGAGAAACAGACCGTGAAGCCGTCTCCAGGCTCTGAGCTGTCAATACAGAGCCTGACACGGGGCTCCAGCTTCCAAACTGAGATCGTGACCTGAGCCAAAGTCAGACACTTAACCAACTGAGCTACCCAGGTGCCCCTCTTGGGGACATTTTTTGAGGCCTTCCTGAGAAATGTGTTGTATCTGCTGTAAGGCAGCCTGAAGCGGCTACTTCCTCATCTCTCCTAAGAAGCATGAAAGTCTGGTGAGAACTGGGTCACAGGGTACTCACAGTTGTGCACAGGTGTGCGGACCCTTTGTCACATGCTCTCTGAGCTCAGCTGGGCCACCCCACCGCCTCTTCCAACACTCACTCAGCAGTGTTCTGCTCCTGCTTAAGCTGGGCTCGGAGGCTACGGGCGACCACACCAAAGCCAGGCCTCAGGGATCACCATGTGATGTGAGACTTGGCCAGAACAAGGACAGTGGTCGGGGAAGGCTTTCAGGGGTGAAGGGTGGGGAGAGGTTGGCAGAGTGAACAGGGGAAGGGGAAGGGTGATCCAGGCTGTGTAGATGAAGGCTCATGGGGAAGGGGGGCACGGGGCTTTCGGAGAGTGCAGTGACAGAGGCCTCAGCCAGGTGTGCGTGGTTTCCTCAGGGTGAGGTGGGTTTAGGCTGGGGGGCCTGCAGCCGCCCCACCTGCAGAGCTTTCCCCAGTGGGAGCTGCCACTGGAGCTCTCCACCACTGGTGACCGCTGGGGATTGTTCTGTAAATACCTCAGTTCCCTTGACCCTTGAGGATAACTCAAGACTCGTGTTTAATTTTTGTTTGTATCTAACTCTATGTGGCTTTATTTCATGGCATTTATTTCCAGGATCTTCCGGTATTTACTCATTGTTTCTTCAGAGGAATCTGAGCCGTGTGACATGCCTGTTTGTGGGGTTTCACATCTTTTTGCCACTGCCCATGGATATGAGTATATCCCAGTTATCTATTCCTGCCAAACAAATCATCCCTAAACTTGGTGATTTAAACAACAGTGATATGTGGGAAGCCTGAGTGGCCCAGTTGGATAAGCAACCAGCCTTCAGCTTAGGGCATGATCTCCTGGTTTGTGAGTTCGAGCCCCACGTCGGAGGGGCTCCAGCTCAGAGCCCGGAGCCTGCTTGGGATTCTCTCTCACCCTCTGTCTCTCTGCTTCTCCCTCCTCTTTCTCTCTTAAAAATAAATAAATAAACACTAAAAGACAAAACAAAAAAACAGCAATGTGGGTTGCATGGGGTTTCCTCTGCTGGTTTCACCTATGCTCATTCAAACAGCGCTGGAGGGGCTGGGCTAGAAGGTCCTGGATGGTCTCGTTCTCATGTCTGAGAGTTGGCGCTGGCTATCACCTGGGTTCCTCTGTTCTTGTGGCCTCTCCACCTCCAGCAGGCTAGGCTTGCTTCCTTACATGATGGTCTCAGCATGGCACTCCAAGGGAGGAAGAAGGTGGGAGTTGCATGGCCTCTTTAAAGCCTCACCTCAGAAGTCCGTAGTGTTACCCCCACCCCAGTTGCATTAAGATATAATTGACACATAATGTCATGTTAGTTTTCAAGTGTATAAAAATGATTTGATATATGTACCTATTGTACGCATGTAAGTTTAGTTGACATCCATCATCTCACACAGTTACAAATGTTTTTCTAATGATAAGAACTTTTAAGATCTCTCTTAGCAGCTGTCAAATACACAGTACAGCATTGTTAACTAGTCACCATACTGTACCTTACATCCCCAGGGCCAATTTATAGCTGGAAGTTTGTACCTTTTGACCCCCTTCACAAGTTTCCGCCATCCCTGCTTCTGGTAGTCACCAGTCAGTTCTTTGTACCTTTGAGTTTGGCTTTTTCAGATTCTGCATGTAAGTGAGATAGATCATGCAGTATTTGTCTTTCTCTGCCTGATTTATTTCACTTAGCATAAAGCCCTCAAGGTTTATCCATGTTGTCGCAAATGGCAGGATTTCCTTCTTTGTATGGCTGAATATTATTCTATTGTATATAAATACCAAGTTTTCTCTGTCCATTCATCAGTGGATACTCAGGTTGTTTCTCAGTCTTGGCTATTGTAATTAATGCTGCAGTGAACACAGGGGTACGGATAACTTCAAGATCATGTTCCCTTTCCGGCTTTCCTCCCTTTCCTGTCTTCTCCCACTTACCAGTCTTTCCTAGGCTCACCTCCTAAGCAAATTGTTTCTGAGGGAATCCAAGCTGAAAAGCTATTGACAGGGTTTGAACCCAGTACTGAGGACAGTGGAGAGCCATTGAGGGGCTTTTCTATATGTGGGGGGACAGGATCAAATTTGCAAGGTCATTCTGACTGTGGCTGTCTGACCCCGTGACCAGTCCTGACATTGTGTTAGTGAGGACCAGGCAGGAGTGGAGAGAGGGCTCCCTCATCCTCCAGGCCCTCACTGCTGTTTCTAACTGCCATGGAGTGCCTTCTTTGTTCCACGTGCTGGTCTGAACATGTGGTGTGCATTTTCTTGTTGTATCTGACAAAACCCTTAGGTTCCATTTTATAGATGAGGGAACTGAGGCATGGAAAGGCCTCTGTGCACAATCACCTGTGCACAATCACACAGCTGGACATGATGACTTGGGGATTTAAGCGCAGGGTTGGCAGATCCAAAATGTGTGTTTTTAGTCGCTTGGCAGTGGGGCCTTTTGGCTCTCTGTGCTCCGTGCCAGCACTGTCCAGGCACCGTGAGGTGGGCCTTTGCTTCCTGGGTGCAGGCAAGTGCTGTCTTCCAGTAACGTCTGCTTCTCCTGCAGGTAAGTTCGAGGACAGGGAAGACCACGTGCCCAAGCTGGAGCAGATAAACAGTACAAGGGTCCTGAACGGCCAGAACTTCACCCTCACCAAGAAGGAGCTGCTCAGCACAGAGCTGCTGCTCCTGGAAGCCTTCAGCTGGAACCTCTGCCTGCCCACGCCCGCCCACTTTCTGGACTACTACCTCTCAGCCTCCGTCAGCCAGAAGGATCGGCACTGCCACAGCTGGCCCGCCACCTGCCCCCGCAAGACCAAAGAGTGCCTCAAGGAGTATGCCCACTACTTCCTAGAGGTTACCCTGCAAGGTGCGGCCCGACGTCGGGACCCGGTAGCCCCTTCCCCCCACACACAGAGGCTGGGATCTGAGAGGCATGTCCACCCAGGGAGTCCTTGCTGACCGGGGCCCATCCACCCAGATCACTCCCACTTCTCAGGGGATACACAGAGAAGGAGCTAGGATTCTCCCAAAGTACTGCCAACACCATGTAAAGGAGAAATAAAGCAGCTGATATACATACAGGCAGCCGGCACCCTACAAACTTACTGATCACCTGGTAGTTTTTCTTACAGTAACCTGGAACATTCCAAGTGATCCAAATGGGAGAGATTTGCAAGTAGGTCATTTTGGAAGAGCAGTCATCGTACAGATAGGGTGGGGGAGGGGGTATGTTTTAGTAATAAAGTTCAGCAATAAAGTTATCCTGTTTGGGGACCTCATGTGAATCCCACTCTTCCCATTGTCTTAATATCTAGGTACTAGGTAAAATACCAGGTCAGAAATACTGTTGATACAATACCCAGTAACCCACCACAAACCAAAATGGTCCCAAGTAACAATGTAAACAGTTACAGGGGCGCCCGGGTCATTGCTGTGTCATTCGCCACTAACAGCCAAAGAAGAGACACATGTTTTGTGGTTCTCTTTGTAGCCCATCAGCAAGCCCCTCGCAGCCCCCCAGAACTTAGGGCGAAATTTTGAAAAATCATTACTCTAGGCTGACACCAGAAATCCCAGACCGAGAGCCAAGGTGTTTAAGATTCAGGAATGGAACTTCATACTATTTCTAATTTTTCATCTTGTGTGTGTATTCAGCAATGTACAGCCTTGAACCTAATCACTTGTCTGCCAGTTCTCAGGAAGCACAAGGCAGGAAGGAGGGCCACTGGGACTCCAGAGTGAGGCTCTATGAAGCCGACTTCTGTGATTCTCTTTCAGATCATATTTTCTACAAATTCCAGCCTTCTGTGGTGGCCGCAGCCTGCGTTGGGGCCTCCAGGATTTGCCTTCAGCTTTCCCCCTACTGGACCAGAGACCTACAGAGGATCTCAAATTACTCTCTGGAACATCTCAGCACATGCATTGAAATCCTGCTGGTGTAAGTTCCATCCCTGATCTTTCTTTGTTTCCAAAATAATCGAGGCACTTGCTCTGGAGACTCACCTCAGGAGATCTCTCAAAGTCAGAGGGTTAGGGTAGTTCCCTGAGCTAGTGTCTCACAGGAAGTGGGCCATTGTGACTCCTGATAGAATGAGGTTTGCAGAGTTGGTCCTTCCTATTTTGGGTAGCTTTGAATTTGTGATTTTAAGGTCAAGGAGGTGGGGAGAAGAGAAGGTGATGGACACATCCTTCTGAGTGTCTGGGCTGTTTGCTCTGAATCCCCGTGTGCCAGTCAGTCTTATGGGTGATTACACTGAGAGACTTATAATCAGCTACTTTGATCAGATGTGGCCACAAAGCTGACCTCTTAGCCAGCTACATAAGAGGCCATGGCCTCCTCGCAAGGGTCCCTGGGAAGCTTGGTGAGGACATGTTCAGCGTATCAGAGAAGGTACAAAGAGTCAGCACAGACCCAACACCATGAAACTGATATTGAAGGTGCAGGTGTTCACTGGTGACCACAAGGAGGAGACAGGACAGAGAACCCAAGCCTGGCTGCTGCCCATCCCTCTTCCCCCCAGCATATGGCAGCATCTTCTGGATGCTGGCCCTACTGACCATGGGGCCAGGCCCCTGGAGAGCTGCCTCTCAGCCTCCTGATATGGGAAGCTGTGCCAGTAGCTGCCTTTGTCTCATCCCTGTGTGAACTGTCTGCCCTGCTCTCTGGGCCTTGTTTTAAAATCTTTGCTTATAGAAGGTGCCCAGAAACAGAGCATATGGTCTGGTCTGAGTGCAGATAGGTGCCCCCAGATTCTTGGCCACCAGCCCTGCCTCTTCACCATGGTTGTGGCTCTGGGATGATCCTCTTCTCAGATCTGTAGCCTCCCTTTGCTCCTGTCTTACCTGAGCCTCTAATAGATTTGTTATTTCAAAAAGCTTTATGGGAAGCTTTTTTTTTTTTTTTATGGAAATAAACCTGTTGGTTCCCTTTCCAGAAGGTGAAACTTAGACCCCAGGGGCAGCTTGCTTGGGATCTGTTTGCAGGTGCCTTGAAGGCAGAGGTGCTCATCTAAGTGCCGGGCCCTGTGCCAGATGCTGGGGATGCAGTGATGAGCAAGAGCAGAGGGCCCCCTCCCCCTGGAGCTCGTGCTCAGCACAAGGAACTAGGTGGTAACACAGAAGTTATCATCTGGGGGGTTGATCGCCGAGATAGGGCAGTACAGAGGCTTGGGGGGACAGCTAGAGTCTGGGATCAGAAGGGGTTTTCTGTAGGAGGCAGATCCGGGTGTAGGTGTGAAGCCTGAGTTTAGTCAGAGGACAGGGGAGGCAGTGCTACAGGCAGTGGGTGTGGGCTGGGTACCACCCTGAGCTCACAGCACACAGATCTCGAATCCCACTTAGCAAGGGAGGGAGGGGCACACTCAGGTGTCTGCTGCTGTGGCCTCGGACCTCAAGTCTCACCTAGGTCCTTTCCTTTCAGAGCTTATGACAATGTCTTCAAGGATGCTGTTGCGGTCAAGAGCCAGGCCTTGGCAATGGTGCCTGGCACGCCCCCTGCCACCACCCAGGTGTTGTTCCAGCCACCCACCTACCCCACCCTGAGCCAGCCGACGACACCAGCCCTGGCGCCATTTCAGACCCCCGTGCAGGACCTATGCTTGGCCTATCGGGACTCGCTGCAGGCTCATCGCTCTGGGAGCCTGCTCTCAGGAGGCTCTGGCTCCTCCCTCCATGCCCTGTACCCCACCCTCCAGCCCCTGGACGTGTGTCCCGTGTCCCTCCCCACGCCCCTCAGCATGCAGATGGCCATCGCGGCTGAGCCCAGGCACTGCCTCACCACCACCTATGGAAGCAGCTACTTCAGCGGAAGCCACGCGTTCCCCACGGGCTGTTTCGACAGATAGGGCACCTTTGGGCCACACAGGGAGTCCTTGGAGACCCACCTGGGCAGAGGACGAGGACACAGGTGAGGGGAGCTCAGCGGAGTGAGGCAGTGGGGAGGCCATCCCCACAGAGCCTCATTGCTACCCTTGAACGGAGAGGGTTCATGTTCTTTTTAAATAAAGCTGACCCCCAGCAAAACAGTCCATGGCAACCTCCCCCGAGAGCATTCCTCTGGAAAGTGTCTTCCACATATGTAGCTGGGGTGCAGGGGGGTGGCTCGGCCACAACCCTCTGGAGGAGGGACCCCCTGAATTGAGAAAGACTTGGTGAGAGGCCAGGAGACTGGAAACTGGATGCAGACTGCCAGTCCATGAGCATGTTTGGCTTTTAGCATCAAAGACTTCTTTACTTCTCGCCAGTGGCAGCTACACTGAAAAAGAAGGGGACTGCATGATGTATCCTCAGGACCCCAGCAGGTGCCGCATTGGGTGCTCTTTCCCTGCCTCCATACAGAAGAGCTGTGTGTGTGTGTATGCCTAAGCATCAGCCTTCTGAGGCACGGTGGGCGGCTGTCTTGCCTTTGTTGTCGGACCTAAAACCTTATTAGGCCTTTTAGATATCTCACATGCTGCTGCTTCCTGAAGTGACCTAGCTTTCTGTTCAGTAAGATATCTTGTTTACATAGTGTATCAGGGATTTTACGATACTTGAAAATTCCTTAGGAGAGAAAAAATGTTGATCGCCACACTGCCTGTCCCATGCAAGGGCTGTAGATTCGGACCCAGCTTGTAACAACAAGCAGGTGGTTGGGGAAAGCCACTCCCCAGGCTCTCAGTTCAAGAAGATTCCACATCTTGGGTGCTGTGTTCACCTGTAGAACTTTGACAGCCACCCAGAGGAGAAGTGGTTGAAAGGTGGACAGAGGTTTACAACCAACAACCCTAACCCCGCTCCACCAGGTGCTTACGGTGTGTGAGTTTGGCTAATAGGGAAGGCTAATGATGTGGAATGTTTGCTTCGTGCCAGCTGGAGTCGGGGAGCGGGGCATGGACAGGGGTGTAGGTCACAAATACAGGCAAGCAATTGGTTGGATCGAAAGCCAGTGTTTGGGCACCTACAGCAAGAGGGCCCTCAGGAAGACTCTCATAACCATGTGCAATATGTTTTTATTCTGACTCATGACTTGTGCTAGTTGTGTTTTTTTGGTTTGTTCCGAGTCGGAGCGACACACTGTTCACCCATTAGAACTGGGAGGTGTAAAGAACAATGGAGACATTTTTTTTGTTTGTTTTAAGAAGAACCCATCTTGGTTTTCTTGGCTTATTTGCCCGTCAGTGCAGGAGACTGGCTCGGGGACTATCAGGAAGGCGGCCATGTGCTGCTGAATTGGATCCGAAGGTGATTTTCAGAGCAGATGAAGGCTTCGGTGTGGAAGCAGAATAAGAAGAGGTAATGCGAATAAGGCACTGGTGCCGCTGTGTCACATGAGTGTGGGAAGACTACACGTTTGTTTGTTGCTTTTCTCTTTTTCCTTTGCCAACCTCCTTCTATTTATGTGAGACTGGTTTGGATTCCAAGTTGTTGTGTCTGTCTGGCCTGGGACTGGGGCTTGTGAAGGGCCCCCCAGTAGAGCCTCACAGCCAGCCCAGCACGCAGAAGAAGGCGTCTTGCAATAAACAGATCACCTACTCCTGGTCTCCGTTCTTTTCCTGGCCTTCGACTCTCAGCCAGCCCCGTCGGTGTCTCCGCTCCCGCTGAGAGGCTGTGGGGGGTGGGCTCTACAAGACTGGCTCCTGTGGAGCTGGGCCTCTCTGGGGACACCCGGAGTAGAGCTTAACACCCCTACCCTACCGCTAGTAGTCAGGGTTCCCCAGAGAAACAGCCCATCATATCTGAGAGATTTATTTATTTGCTATGTTTTAATGTTTATTTTTGAGAGAGAATGAGCACGTGCGTGCATGAGCCGGGAAAGGGCAGAGACAGAGCAAACGAGAAAGAATCCCAAGCAGGCTCCATACTGTCAGCACAGAGCTCAACATGGGGTTCAAACCCTCAAACTGCGAGATCATGACCTGAGCTGAAATCAAGATTTGGATGTATATCCGACTGAGCTACCCAGGCACCCCAGAGAGATTTATTTTAAGGAATTGGCTCACACAGTGGGGGCTGACAAGTTAGGAATTTGTAGGGCAGGCCAGCAGGCTGGAAATTCGGGTAAGAGTGGATGTTTCAGTTGAGTCCAAAATCTGTAGGGCAAGCCAGAAACTCAGGATTTCTGTTACAGTCTCTGAAGCAGAATTCCTTCTCCAGGAAACCTGTTTTTTGCTCTTAACAGCCTTCACCTGGCTGGATGAGGCCCACCCACGTGGAGAGGAGTCTCCTTTACTTAAGGCCTACTGATTGTTACATGTTAGTCACATCTACAAAATGCCTTCACAGCAACATCTAGATTAGTGTCTGAACTGCCACACACCATAGCCTAGCCAAGCTACCACGTAAAATTCACCACAACCACTTACTAGCTGTCTGGAGGGAGTTGACTCAACTGTTCTGAGCCTTAGTCTTCTCACCTGTTAAAATGGGGGTGAGAACACTTGCTTCACAGGGTTCTCATGAGGATTAAGCAACATAAAGCATGTCAAAGCCAAACACAAGGTCTACTCTAAGATGTACCATTATTTTATGCACCAGTGAGAGAATTCAAGAAAAAGTCACCAACTAAGCCATGACATAGTGTTTAAGATACTGCTGATTAAATAGTGTACTCTTATTTCAGGAACGTTGACACATAAAAATATGTGTATCATAGAATGGATGGACTATATATCTGCAATTATGGAGAGTGTCAGACTCTTTTTCTGACAGGAAGAGAGCCCTGCCCTCTACCCACCCAGGTTCCTGCAGGAGAGCCATCCTGGAGATTGGTGTCCGTGTGGAGCTGAGTGGTTCTCACTAAGCACGGATGCCTTTAGTTAGGAAGGGGAGGTGTGGGGAGAGCTGCCCAGGCCATGAAGCTGACATCCAGCCCCAGGAGGTGTTTGGGAACCGTGTGTGTGTGCAGGCAGGGCTGGGCTGGGGGCAGTACTCTCCATCTGCCATGATCAAGTCAGGCAAGGCAGGAAGCTAGTCTAGGTGTTGGGGACTCGACAATAAGGCAAATTCTGGGTTTACCAAGAATACCCACTTTACTGTGCCTCTGTCTTTAGGCTTCAGGTTCTCCACCTGTTACCATAGAGATGGTTGAGTTGATGGGTGGTTTTCCAGCACTAGAGGGAAACTGAGCCACAGAGGCCCTGGGCCCCTGCCTTTCTTCAACCAGAGGGATCCACTTGTACCTCTCCCACACATGGGTGTTCTGTGTTAGATTTCCTAAGTTCCCATGCTGGGCAGTAGTTCAGAAAGCTTGAAAAACAGAGATGATTGAGGTACCTGGGTGGCTCAGTCGGTTGAGCATCTGACTCTTGATTTCGACTCAGATCATGATCTCATGGTTCGTGAGTTCAAGCCCCACACTGGGCTTTGCGCTGACAGTGAGGAGCCTGCCTAGGATTCTCTTTTCTCTCTCTCTCTCTCTCTCTCTCTCTCTCTCTCTCTCTCTCTCTGCCCCTCCCCCACTTGTACTCTCTCTCAAAATAAAAACAAACAAAAAGAAAAGCATAGAGGTGGCTTTAAAGGCCCTGCCAGGGCTGACATCTAGTTCAGTCCAGAGATTTTCAAACCTAAGCAAGCTGCGGAATGACCTGAAATCTCCAAGAGGAGTGGGGCCTGAGAATCTGCGTTTTTAGCTGGCTTCCCAGGGATTCAGATGCAGGTTTTCTTTGAAGTTCCAATAAAGGACTGAATGTGCAGGCCCTGGATTGTGGGCCCAAAAGAGAGAGTAAGGAAACCGCATCCCCGGCTGAATTTCTGCACCATCTGAGTTCCAGACCTACACTTTGTTCCATATTTAGTGGTCTGTGTTTTATGCAGTATTTCTGTGTGAAAGGTTTGGACATGCAGATCCATTTTCCTAGGAAAACCAGCTTCCCTTCAGGTTTAACATCACCAGTGCCTGGATTAGGGTTGGGGTCAAGGTCCCACAGCCCTCTGGGTTTAGAGTCCATCTCTCCAAAGCCATCTGTTCTGTCATGTGAATACTCTTCTCCCTTAATCCTTTAGATCAGTGATTCTCAGCAGAGCTCACTTTTGCCCCCTAGAGGACATTGGGCAATGCCTGGAGACATATTTGGTTGTCCCCACTGTGGTGGCTGGGGGCCAGTGGATAGAGGCCAGGGATGCTGCTCAACATCCCACAGCCCAGGAAAGCCTCCACAGTAAGAACTGTCGAGCCCCAAACAACAACAGTAGAAGGTTAAGAAACCTCAACTCCCGTGTCATCTCCCAAAGAGGTCTCTGTAACAACCCTACTCACTCATTACTCTTCCTTTTCTCCATAGCTGTTCAAGCCATTTGAAATGATCTTTTTAGTTTGTGAACTTGGTTTGATGGCTGTGCCCTAAGCTACTTTCCCCCCAGTAGAATATAAAGAATATTATCACCTGGTGGTGGTGGCAGTAATCATAGCAGCTGACATTTATTCAGCATTTACTATGTATGTATAAAGTGCTATGCTAGGGGCGCCTGGGTGGCGCAGTCGGTTAAGCGTCCGACTTCAGCCAGGTCACGATCTCGCGGTCCGTGAGTTCGAGCCCCGCGTCGGGCTCTGGGCTGATGGCTCAGAGCCTGGAGCCTGTTTCTGATTCTGTGTCTCCCTCTCTCTCTGCCCCTCCCCCGTTCATGCTCTGTCTCTCTCTGTCCCAAAAAAATAAATAAAAAACGTTAAAAAAATTTTTAAAAAAAGTGCTATGCTAAGGCGTTTGCTCATATTTTTGGTAACCGTCTTAGTAACCCTACAAGGTAGGAACTATTATTGGCTATATTTTACAGATCAGAGAATGGGGACACAGGTTATTTGCCTGAGGACAGCAGTGGGGAAGGAAGGAGGCACAATTCAAAAACAGGCAGTCTGAATCTGCCCTGCCGCCTTGTAGTACCTCAGTCAAGGGTTTTGAATGAGTGAAAGGTGGTGTGACTGTCCCAGCGGGCCATCTCACTCATCTGGTGGGGAAGACATGGCAGAATAATGGATATAGATTCGTAAGAGTTGCCAGGCGTCCATGCTCCTGATGTACTGGGTGGCAGGCCTTCTCAGAGTGTGCTTACCAGCAGACAGAGATATAGAAACAGCTTCTCGCACATCTGCCACGAGCTAATGTGATTTATGGCTCCATCTGTCTGTCCCCAGCAGGCTCTGATTTGGGAGGAGTTCCCTGAACCCCATCTGTGAAGGTGGGAGCAGGCTTGGGGCTTTCCCAGAGCATCCCCCGGGGAGGAACCTAACCTGTCTCTGGGCTGGCTCTGGCAATCCCTGGCCCTAAGTGCCTAGGAAAGAATCTAACAGCCCTCATTCACCTCATTTTTTGTTCCTCAGGGAAGACTTTTGTGACTTGAATTTCAGCAGAAAGGCCATAGCATTTTGCAGGAGTCTCAAGTCCAGATGCCCGCCAGGACCAGGCAGGTAACATAGTGAATCCAGCTGGGTGATTGAGAGGGTGTGATGTGGTCAGTACTGTGTTGAAACCAGTGTCTCCCTAGAGGATATGGCTCCTACTCCGTTCTGGTCAATTATTGCCTTTCAAGGGTGTAAGCTCCACATTGCGGAATCTTCAGGATCCTCTAGGAAACCTATTAACTTTTCATTTAATTTAAAAATTAAATTAAAAAAATATTAACACAACAGAAGACCAATAAAACACATCGTAAGTTAGAGTAGTTCTTGGGCTGGAAGCATGCTACTTCTGGTATATAGACCAGAACATTAGGCCAGGAGGTCTCAGTTTGTCTGCTCTTAGCTAGATGACTTTGGGAAAAGCCACCTCTCCACTCTGACTTCTGTCTCCTCATTTATAAGGTGGGAAGGGTATCAGCTTGGGCTACACTTCAGATTTATGATAACAAAACATGGAATATATGGTATCGTTATTCAACAGTCAGTTCTGTGAGACAGAATGTGAATAAGTGGGCCTCTCCCTTCTTTGGGGATGCAGGTGAGTCTCTGAGCTTCACTTCTTCCGACCAAGCTCTAGCTTCTAAGGAAGAACTGGGCCAGTGCTGACCAGTGTTTCAGGCTGCTGCCCTTGCCCGGGATACAAGGGACAGGATACACAGGAGGTCATGCCTTCTGCAAAATGGGAGGATTGGGACTGGAGTAGTCAGTCTCCAAAGTTATGCCTGGCTGGGGAGCACTTCACAGTGACAGTTCTCCAGGTCTGGGGTGCAGCCTGCGCTATCCTCTCACCAGGACCCTCAGGAGATGCTCATGCACAGCCAGGTTTGCACGCTTCTCCCCGCTGTAAGTGCTCTGACCCTGTGTGTGCCCATTCTCCCAGTAGAACCACCAAGAGAGTCCCTTAAAAGCTGTTTGGTGAGCACTTACTATGTTCCAAGGCCTGTACTTGACACTTTCCTCATGCTCTCTTACTCCCCCTATTCTTTTTTTGTCCTCACAGCATTACCCAGAGCTAATATTATTATCACCATTTTCCAGATGACGATACTGGGGCTGAGGAAGGCTCAAGGTCTCAATATGGGTGAGTGGTAGGAATGGGTTTCACATTTAGAAATGCTTGAGGAGCCCATGTGACCTCCAAC